TATTTCTTAGGTAGTTCTTTACCCTTTTTAGAGCAGAAAAAGATCGTTCACCACTTGCATTTGAAACCATTATAAAAAAAATTCGCAGACAATTATTAATATTCGGAAATGAAGATATTAATTTATTTTCGTATAAAAATTATACTAATTCCAATGGAGTTTCTATTTTTATTTCCGAAAGGGAAGTTACCAGTTTCTTGAGTTGGACACATTTTTGAGGAAAAAACTCATCCAGATCCTCCATGAGGATTTATGCTTTTAGATTAAACAAAAATTCAAATTTGTTTATGCCAGATTTCTAGCTATCATATCGGCAAATGATTTCGGATTATAGATTGTCAATTATTAAAATAAAACATATTGTTCGCATTGTTTCTTTTTTACTTAAACTTGCCTCTAAATTATTTTCTTCAAATTGTAATTTTCTTATGATTATCCGCTTCTGAGCATAATTTTCGTTTCCTGTTAATTTCCTCGTAATGATCAAAATGATATCACGTAAAAAATCAAAGTTCTCAACTAAAAATGACAAAAGATGAGCATTTGTGCTTAAATCCATATTTTGTTTTTGGACTGCTTTATTGGTTTCATTAACCCTTTGCAAAACGTCTATCCAAAAAGTTCAACTTATTCCGTTTTCAATAAATCAAGTTTTTCTGATGGAGAAGCTGCTTTAACTCTAACAACATTTTTCTCGTTGTATCTGCCGACGCAGTGTCGCAATACTTTTTTTCTAAATTCTAACGATTAAGTATTTTTTTTTAATTATGGGCGGTATGCGGTACCGCCCCAAAAATATTTACCGCCCGGTGCTAAAGTCCCCAAAAAACCCCTGTTAAACCGGCACTGTTGTGGTGCTCGATAGCATTGTGTGAATTCAAGAATTGTCAACAATACATTTAAAGCATACCAAAAAACGTTTGTGAAGCATACGAACTGCACATCATTTTCAAAAATTCTTACGTGGCAATGTTCGATCGGTTGTGTCATTTTGACATAAAATAGCAATAAATGCATTGTCAAAATGTTAAAACAGGTAAATTTAAGCACTGCTGAAGGGGGTCAAAACCGCATTAAAAAATTGTTTTACTATTAGTATACCAAAAGTCAACGATATCCTTTCTAGGACTGATAGGCCTGCTCATGATGATCAGAATATCGAAACATGACTTTGGTTTAAAATCTTTAACTTTTGAGATATTGGCAACCCTGGCTGAAATATATGTTTTCAAAAGATAAAGAGCTCTAGGCCTGTCAGTTCTTTAAAGGATATCGCTAATTATAAATATTTTTTGTTCAATTGCCAAGAAGCAAATTATTAATATTAATTATTATTAATATTATGAGAATTTTTTTATAAAATGAAAATCAACTAAAACTAATTTATAAACTTTTAAAATTTGTATATTCTTTTCATCTAAAGATCAAAATAATCAAGGTAAAAACCATTGTGTAAATTGGCTTTTGGCATTTAATGTTTTTATTTTTAACATTTTTATTGCTTAGTTTAATATTAATTATTTTTGACAGTTAAAAATTAAATTAATATGATTATAATCATATATTATATCACGAGAACTATGAATTTAATCGGTTAAACTAGGCTCAGTAGTTTTTTGTTTGGTTTTTGTTGGAAAATGTTGAATGCAAAATAATTTAATAAAATCACGAGACCGCGTAGCGGTCGAGGGGTTTTATTTTTAATTAACTATTTTCCAAAAAGAAAAATCAAATAAAAAACTTACTGAGCATAGCTTGACAGATTAAATTTATAGGTTGAGTGATATACGTCTAGATTATTTCTCGAATTAAAGGAAACTATTTGACAATTCATAAAATCTGACGTATGTGTCAAAATTTATAAATATTTTTTTAAAGAAAATTCCATTAATTTAAGGTATGTAATAAGTAATAATTGATATTTCGTAAACTAGATAACTTATTTTTTATTGTTTTTTAAAAAATGTTTGTTAAAACTTTTAAATAACACCATAAAATCGTAAACAAAAATCCAATATGGAGGCTAAAATTTAATCGCTTATTTAAACAAAATTTATTCGAAAATTCAAGGCTTTTGATTGGTTCATATTATAATGAGGAAAATAATCATAGAAAATTATTAATTTTGTCAGTTATCTTTTGGTTATTTTAAAATTAAGTCCCACTTGGCAAAAAAGGTTTTAAAGTAGTAGAGTTTAAATAAATGAATAAATGAATTTCGTTTTAATTTAGGTACAAGAAGCTTACTATTTTTTAAATTATTTATTTTTATGTATATTAGAATACAAGCGATTATTTAATATTGCCTATTGCCTAATTTGCCTTTGCACAGGTGTGCATTTTTTAAATTTTTAATTGAGTAAAAGTCCGGTTTCTACCTATCTCATAAGTTATACTATATTATAATACTAAAATAAACAATATTAAAAATAAACGCCTTTATGCTGCTCAATAGATTTTAGAGTAACGTGTCCTAGGTTTATTATGGGCACGTCATGTTTCTATAAATCAGATAGCGCTATCTCTGTTATCTATATTTGGTAGGTAAGTTTCAAGCTTAATGTAATAACCAGGTTTGAGTATTTACGTTTATTTGTTTTCGAAAGTTTCTTATACTTTTTAAAGGTAAGTTCTTCAGCTTAATTTTTATAAAAATCTATAGATACAATTTTCTATTCTCCATTGCATAATCTGTGTGTTGCCTAGATATTAAAAAACACAGTGGAGGTTACCCTATTTTCTATATTATTCTATTTTAATTTTTACATTTGCTTCAAATCTACTGTACCTATTTGGAATATTGGCACCCATGCATTTCTTGACCATACGTCCAGTGCTTAATGTGGTTCATAAAGAACTTAAAGCACTGAAAAGTATACCTACTTATCTATTTGATTTTTGTCGATAGAAACTAATTCTTTTAATTATAATGATTTTTTAGCAGAATGTTCCTTTACTTTGCTTTTTTATGCAACAAAATTCATCGTATAAAAAATTAAATGAATAAAAATATGTTTTTTGGAAAAGTTTAGGGGGCCCATATTCCAAGCCGCCAGTACTGATTTGGAAAAAAATTATATTTTGTATTACCTAATAACAAATAAAAATTTCTTGGAACCAATCTTAAAATCTAAAAAATCGTTTTGGTAATCAATTGTGGGGGCCACTAACAATGTATTAGCATCATACTTCTCTTTACTTTCATTATCAGTCTGTTATAGTGAAAAACATAATGGGTGCCCATATTTGGACCAGTTCCTCTAAAGGTAAAGGTGGAAACATTTGTTGTAGGTACTTATTATAAATTATTCTGTCAGTATCACTTGTACACTTCAGACTTATATATGTTTTCTCCACACGATACAAAATTCTAACCATAGCAGTGCATTTAAATTTAAAATACCTAAAAGGTAGGTAATTAATTATTCTATAAGATTTCGATTAACAATGTAGTTCCGCTAACGCAATTTGCATAAACTCCTCACTAGCCTAGCGAATGTCCATTGCGTCCCGTACTGTCCCCTAATTAGGGCTCGATAGCGAAATGCCAATAGTTTTAGTAGCCATTCCCGGGTTCGCTGAGCCGATGCTATACGTCCAGACTGGACGTATAGCATCGGCTCAGCGAACCCGGGACGGTCCAGTAGGGTAATGAAGGAGGTAGGACGGAAGGGATAGACAGTTTGGTTTTTGGGGGACAATAACGCCGATTTAAATCTAAGTACGACGCGGTACCCCCCTAGACCAGGCAGTTAGTATTACTCCAAACATTTGGGATTACTGTATGGAGTTCGGGAGTTGTTATTTTGCTGCTGGGAGTTGTCTACATTTTTGTCGTTATTGTTCGTGTCCAAGTAGGATGTTCCTGCACATGTGTCTTCAGTCTTGAGGCCGAAAACCATCAATAGATATTTCAGTAGCTGGATATGTACCTTGTAGCTTTTGATGTTTTTTTTTAATTGTTTATTGCCGCAGTAGTGCGAAAATTCTAACAATTTTTTTTAGTTATTGTGTTGCCCATACACGTTCTGTAGTAGTTTTGTCTTTTTTTCTTAAATTCCAAAATTAAGTATTGCATTTATTTATTTATTTATTATTATTAAACAAATACAAGCGCAATTATTCTGTTATAATCTGATGTGTTTACAAATCCAATAGAGTTTGATTAGTGTGCTGTTTTTACTATGTTAGGGCTTTAATGATTTATTGAGTGTTAGTTTATTCTGTGTGTCAAATGTTTATTATTGGTCTCGTTTGGGTTTCATGCCTTACGCATTTGTTGTTGACAGATTTATTGTCCTACACAGCTTTGGTGTATTACCGCGATAGTTCGATTGGGAAGTTTTGTTTTCTTGTTGTTTGTCTTTTTTCTTTATTATTTTATGGTGTTTGGTTAGTATTATCTTTCTAATGTTTCTATTGTTACTGATTTTTATTGTTTTTTTTTTTCTAGAGTTTAAGCAGTGTGCCTTTCTTAGGGTTTTAAAGATATCTGTCGTGTTTAATTTGCAAGTTATTTGTTAGGTCATGCATATGCTTAAAGATACTTATCAATTTTTTGCGGATGGCCACTTCCCCTCTTGTTAGATCTCTTTTGTTTGTCTAGTAAAAAGCGTCCAATGACAGGTGGTATACCTATAGGACCAGAAGCTGAAACTTGTCACTTAATTCTTTCTTATCATTTAAAACTTCACTCTTTATTGACCGTTACACTATAATTGGTTTGCACTTTTAAAAAATTATTTGTTGGTTTTAAACTTTAAACTTTTACGTTTTAAGAGCTCTCGCTGCTACAATGCGTCATGCCTTGTCAAGTGCTGGAACCTGACTGTTTTCACGTAGAAAAATCCATAGGAACAAAAATACAATAAAAAAACAAACAAAAACATATTAAAAGAGGTGAAGAAGAAATAATTAACCAACATCGTAGTAATGTAAGGTCCCGCACTCCTAAGTCATTAAACATCGTTTCTCAAAATTAAAGATTTATTTTTACTTACATTTTCTATTCTATTTTCCAGCATTTTAAAGAAGTCCTGTTGGCTCGTAGATATTTGCCTGCAACATAAATAAAACCGTTTAAAAATTTATATTGGCATTTATGCTGCAAGGATTTTATTGTTTTAATATCCATAAAGCGCTTGTAGTTAGGTAATATTTTGTTCTTTTAGACAAGTAAAGTTTTTTACCAACTACAGCCTGTAGGCTGTAAAAAATCCGTTTGGACTAATAAAAAAAGTCCAGTACTGTCAGATATAATCTAACCTCACTTTATACTTTTAATAATTATAATAAATTATTAAAAATACGTTTTATGTATTGTTTAATAAATAAAATTATGGTTAGAAGATAAAATGTTGTATGCGATGGGGCTGGGAAGTGTCTTTTTGTTCTTCGAGCTCAGCACAAAAAATACTTACTTTTCGGCCTAATGACATAAATAACTATTATCTCCAAGCGTTTTATAATTACAGCCTAGGCTGTAAAAACCCAAAATCGAAAAATTCGATAACTGCTGACATTTCTGAAGCTATCTAACCTCTCTTTATACTTTTAATAATTGTTATTATAATTGTACGTTTAAGGTATACCTTATATATCTTATAAGGTATACCTTATATATATAAGGTATACCTATATAAGGTATAAGGTATAAGGTATACCTTATATATATATATATATTGGTGTTTGGTAAGCAGTGACTTCCGATAGGTTGACGTGGCGCCCTCACCTCCGGTATTACCAGTTATTTTAAACGTATATATTAGGGTGCGTTTGAAAGAGGGGAAGGTCTACAATTCGGCTGTCAAAAGAGGGGAAGCATTTTGTGAAGAATTAAAATGTATATATTTGGAAGCAACTAATATACGAAAACACTTCCGCATATATATGAAAGAGTTACGGTCACGTCGTACTAACTTCCAGCAGTGTTGCCAGATATCAGAAGTTAGATTTACAACTATATTTTGTTAACTTGCGAAAAGAAATCAATAATTTAAATTAAAACCTAATACCTATTTAGGGAGAAACGTACAAAAAAGTATTTTTATTATAAAAATAACTAGTTTTGTTACTTACGTAAAGAAAATTATTTTATTACAAATTATCAAGTGTTCATTAATATTGACAGTTACGTATTTTTTGAAGTTAAGAACATTTTCCCTTTCTGCTCAAAGGGGTTATTATTATTCTAGGTCAGGGATGGCAAACCTATGGCACGCGTGCCATGACTCATGGCCCATGAGTGGCACGTTTTAAATTTTTTTTGGCACGTTTTGAGAACAAAATTTGTTCATCTTAAGCTAATTTTTAAGTTTAATAATTTGCGTATTTTATTCCAATTAAAACATAACTTATAACTAAACTCCGTAAAATTTAATGTCTATGTTAGCCTTGTAATCATAAGCCCCAAATTTTACAATTTTTAATGAATATCGCTAGAATTTTATCTAGGTGTTAAATAGAAACAACGATAAAACTTCTTTGTTTGTAAAGCTTTAATTTATAATCTTGAATGTTTTATTAAAAAGTTTAACGTAAGAATAAGCTTGATTTTGATACCATATAGACTTAAATATCTTGAACAATAATGGTTTTAAAAAGAACCATGAATTTTAAAACAAAATGGGTTATTTTTATAAAAAACAAAAATGCCATTTTCTTGAAATTTAAAACATAGAACCTTTTTAGTAATTTAATCCTCCAAATAAAATAATTCTATTTACAATTTTTATGAACATCTATTTTTAAGTATGCATCTATGTTAGATTTTGATCTTTTATTTCTTCTAAATCGTACGGTACAGATATGATATAATAAAAAAAAACGAGACTAAATTTATTTCTTAAAATATAACAATTAATTAAAAAAATTTCTAAATAATAATTTACTTTTTTTATAATGTTTTTGTATACTTTCATCTTCATAACACTTATAAAAATTTACATGTGGCACGTTACATTTTGAAATTTTTTTAAGGTTTTTTGGCACGCACACTAGGGTGGGCCGAAAAACGTAAAAAAAAATATTTGAGATATTTATTTTTGGGTAGTAATAAAAAGTTACCTTATGTTAAAAGTAATTGATTAGAAAAAAATGTAGCGTACTAGCCTATTATTTAAGGGTCCCCCGGGGGCCTAAAATATTTTTTTGTATGTTTTGACTGGGATGGGAACAAAAAGTTACCTTATGTTAACAGTAATTCTAGAAAAAAAAATGAGCGTACTAGCCCAATATTTAAGGGTGCCCCGGAGGCCCAAAATATATTTTTTTTCATATTTTAATTGGGGTAACCACAAAAAGTAACAGTATGTTTAGAAAAAAATAGCCATTCTAGCCCAATATTTAAGGGTGCCCTGGGGGCCCAAATTTTTTTATTTATATTTTAATTGAGATGGCAACAAAAAGTTACCCCATATATTATTGCATAGAAAAACCAAATGTCTGTATCAGTCTAATAGTTTTTTTTATTATTTTATTAAGACGCCTTTTGATAAAAACAATTAGCAACTCTTAGCTTGATTTTATTAAATTTAAAAAAACATATTGCGTTACTCTAAATTAATTAACACAGCCACTAACGAAATAAATAGAGTCTTAAAAGAAGTAAATGCTTCAGTTAAAAAAAGAACTAAAGACTTCAGTTAAATGCCAAAAAAAGTCTTGTAATAAATATTGGTACAGTATACATGATAAATAAATCAAAACAATATAATTTTAATACCATACATATAAATTTTTTTTAGATTTTTTTTATTAATATTATTAATTAATTGGATAGTTGCTCCTAGAGTGCCACCCGCTCCCTCCCACCCAGTTTTTTTATTATTACATAATATTGAGACTTGTTGTCATATAGGCCGGTAAAGATGTCCGCGCATCTATATAACCATTTCTTGCTACCTCACAGCAAATTTTTAATGCAGCTTTACACACTTTTCCACCGCTTGCGTTTGAAAGGGTAACTTGTCGAACCTTATATAGAAGTCGTCTGCTTGACTTATAAATATTTTTAGTTCTTTTATTTTAAAAAACATTTCCAAATTTATAAACATTTTTAACCCTAAACCGCCAAATTTTTGACAACAAATTCCAATATCGGACATTTTTTTTGTAAACATATTGTTAACATAAGGTAACTTTTTGTGGCTACCCCAATTAAAATATAAAAAAAATGTTGGGCCCCCGGGGCACCCCTAAATGTTGGGCTAGTACGCTAATTTTTTTTCTACAATTATTGTCAACATAATGCAACTTTTTATTGCCCCAAACAAAATATAAAAAAATAATATTTTGGGCCCCCAGGGGGACCCTTAAAAATTGGGCTAGTACGCAAAATTTTTTTTTACAAACTACTTTTGGCATAAGGAAACTTTTTTTTGGTACCCCTAAATTGAATTCAAAAAGTAATTTTTTCGGCCCACCCTAACGCACACTAAAAAAGGTTCGCCATCACTGTTCTAGGTGGTGTAATTCCCAATAAAAATCCATGAAAATCAACGAAGTTTTACAGAAATTATTATTTTTTAATTGGGTCCTCCAAAGGTTTTTTTAGTGACGGTTGAATAAAATGTCCAAGTTGTGTGAGTTGGGGAAACAGGGTGAGATGTTTTTTTGTACGAGTATTAGTATAAGGAACGTATGGCAGGCCCCACCGGCAACGTCGATTCGATTTTTTTATTGACCCAAAGTAGAAAAAATGATTTTTACAGACTAGGCTACAAATAACGTAGCCTGTTTGATATAAATCATTTTTAAGTGACTAGGTCATAATCACTCACTTTAGTTACAGTAGGTAACGAGTGTTAACAACAATAACCGATTGAAGATAAATATTTTAATATCTTCATTATTTTAATATAAAGTACAGTGCTTTAGGTATTTTTTGTTGTATAAGGTAAAAATGATATAATTGGTTTTATTTTACACTTTTGTTTAAAAAAAATATAACTGCATATTAAACTACCTACTTAAATTTCATAGTTCATTTGTCCTTTTTTCATACCGTACCATAATACGTTCAAAAACGATAATTTTGGTACAATAATTTCACATTCAAAATCGGGTAACACAGCAGCAGGGAAAATATGGAAAATAAAATTGTAAATAAATTTTTCGACGCGGACGACAATAATTGTATTGTATTGTATTGTATTATACCTACTAAGAAATATTTTGATTAATATAATATTATTAATATTTCATCAATATTAAATAAAATAATTATTCTCAGCTGTTTAGAAAACACAAACTTAATTACGGAATACAACCTTTATTTGTTATAATAATAATTTGTTATAACTAATATTATTTTTGTTATACAAAATGAATAAAGGAAAAAAGCATTGATTCAAAGCCAAAGGCGGCAGATCTTAAATGTCTCGCAGCGTCTCAGCGCTATGAGATATTAATATCACTCTACTAATTAAAGGAATGAGAATAAAGATTTGGCAACGCCGATTTAACAAGAGAGAGTTAGGTATAGCGTGAACTGCAGGCACAACAAAGATAGTTATATTGTCATGCCCACGCGGAAGTCGAATCGTACAGTTTGTTAAATATTTGTAGCGACAACAGCGCCAGCGGTATATACCCGAACTAAAGGAAAGTTTTGTAGGTATATATGGCACGCACTGACTTCCAACCTAAAATTTGAAATAACGCTTTTTTCGACCTCTATATGACATTGCGCTAAAAAAATGCACTTTTCGTAGTGACTTCCGAAATCGGAAGTCACATCGTTATATATGAAGTCACAGCGTCTAGTGAGTATCTATTTTGGAAGTCACTTGGTACTATTTATCAATATATATATATATATATATATATATATATAAGGTATACCTTATATATATATATACCGGTAAGTATGGTTTAACAAATAAAACTGTGCCAAGATAAAATATTGTATGCTATTCGGCTGAGACGTGTCTTTTTGTACTTTAGTCAATTGTAGGTTTCCACTAACGCGTTGGCCTTTAAACTTTGAATAAAAAAACCTTCTAGGCTGTAAAAGTAATTTAGATAAATCGGGTACGGTTTTTAACCCTCTAGTCTGT